TATGCAATTTGTGACACACATTGTTTTTGGGCACCTTACCAGCTTCCCTAGCACAAAGCCTGGTTTCTCTTAGTTGCGCGTTGACGCGCAGAAGAATCGGTGGCATTGGAAGCAGCGTTCCGGCAGAGTGAGGGGTGCCGGGTCTGATGAATCCCATAATTCTCATATCTGGATGTCACGTCCTAAAAATTTCAATTTGGTATTTTTGAGTTCTCTCAAAAGGTGTCTGTTTGAGATTGCATCAAAGAAACTTACACAAGGATAAGCGTAGCTTGAATAAAATGAAGAGTTCTGACTGGGGTCCTTTGCGACAGACGAATTCCGGTGCGTTTAAGCCAACTACCCAGATCAGTTATCTGTCCAGCTGCATCCTCTACAGCAGTGAGTGCTGACCAACGCGAAACGAGGAGAGCAAGCACAGTGTTGTGGACATAAGATGGTACGATCAACTCTAAGGCCGGTAGTAAAAGTGGCGTTATGGGTACCGGCAAGTTGGCACACATCACAGAAAGTTGCCAACTCCGGCTTGCGCTGACTGGCCACAGGCAAACAATAGCAAAAATTTCGCATCACGTGCGCTAAAACTTGAGTACATCGTCTTCCGTGCGCCACGCTTTAACCGATCAACCACATGCATGGTTCGCACATGGCAACGGTGGTAAGATCGATGAGGTGCATGAGTTTCCTTGTCCACCGCAACAATTTTGCATCACGCACCCTCCTAATTCCATCCAACTTCGATCGTGGCGCTAACCGCTCAAGCACATTGCATGTTTCACAAAATACAAGCGGTAAAAGAATGCGCAAGAAAGTGGCGCATGTGTTTGGGCATGATCAATGCTCTTGGGTGGTGGACTTTGGACTTCGAAATCTTCCAAGAGCGCCCTCCTAATGATGTTTATCTATCTGTTGTTATCTTTGTATTTTGGAAGTTATCTTGTATGAGTGCTTTCCGAACGACGAAGTCGATAAGAAGCTTTAAAATAGTCTCCATAAAAGCAAATTATTCAGATATGCTACTGATGCTCATATATGCCACACCTGTTAGGCATGGGTATATCCGCTAGGGACGCCTCCATCCCTTGCGTCTTCTCGATTC